GATCCTCAGATCTCAGCCTCCTGAGTAGCTAGGATTACAGGCGTGAGCCACCAGCGCTCGGCTTGGGCTACTTCTTCTTATACTTTTTCCCAATGTGTGTTTTCTGATGCCCAATAAGATGTGAGCTCTGGGTGAAGGCCTTTCCGCATTTACTGCACACGTAGGGGCGCTCCCCGGTGTGAGTCCTCTGGTGCCGGATGAGGTGCGAGCTCTGCCGGAATGCTTTCCCACAGTCCTGACATGGGTAGGGCTTGGCTCCAGTGTGAGTCCTCAGGTGCTGGGAGATGGCCGAGCGGTCATTGAACGTCCGCCCACACTCATGACACTCAAATGGTCTCTCCCCACTGTGAACTCTCTGATGCTGTGTGAGGGAAGAGCTCTGCACAAACCCTTTCCCACAGTCCTGACACACATAGGGCCTTTCTCCTGTGTGGATCTTTTTATGGACAGAAAAGTATCTTGGGTTTCGGAACATTTTCCCACATTCACTGCATCGGCAAATTTGGCTCCCTTTGTGAATTCTTATAAAAGTAATCTGCTGAGCTCGATGGCATATTGTTTTCCTAAAACCACTGCTCTCCTTGGCTTTTCTTCCTGTAGAGCCCTTTTGTTGAATTCTTGCACGGGAACCACTTGCTACACAACTGTTGTTCTTCTTGGTTCTCCCCACTTCACAGTCCTTCTTGTGGGTTTTTACACGTGGACTACCTCCCATGTTTTTAACCTGTAGGCTACGTTTGCGTAAGCCCTTTGTGGAAGGGATGTCTTGGACTGAACCCTGACTGGTGTGGAGACCAGTGCTTGGCTGGGATTTTGGGCTTTCAGTGAGCTGCTTTTCAGAAAGGCCTTGTTCCCGGGTGAACTCCACTTGTTTCAACACTGTGTTGGGAACAACTTGGACCTTGTCTTGTACATCATCTTCTGAGGAAGAACGGTGGGTGTTGTCCCTTGAAAACTTTTTCATTTTTAGATCACGAACTGCTTCTTCCACAGGAAAGGGAGAATCTGAAGTTAACTCTTTGCTTCCCAATGCAGTCTCCCACCCTGAAACAAACCAAAAAGATGTAGACTCTACAATTTAACGCAGAATTAAGTACTCAACAGATAGGGACTTCTTTTTTCCAATACAGTCATGGAATCTGGGGAGTGCATGTACAAAGGCATGAGGATGCAAAGAAAGAACAACCAACCTAGTGACCGAGATGAACAATAAAACAATCCATTTAGACACCAGAGAACATTCTCAGAACTAGCTCTTCAGGCTCCTGTTCTCATTCCCTGTTTCTTTAAGGAGAATTGGACCAAGCCTGTCTCTGTTCATCTAAAGTTCCCATAGGTTCCAGCTTAGATAAGTTCCAGTTAACGGTCCTGAACAGAGCAAAGGAAGGTATGGCCAGGCCAAGCACTGCGTTGGGAGAAGATGAGGGCCTTGGCTTGGAACCCCACAGCATTCCCCCAGCAGCAGGTCCTTACCTACAGAGACCAGGTTCCCCAAGGTCTCCAGCATCACGTCACGGTACTCAGTCCTCTGCACTGGGCCCAGTAGTCCCCATTCCTCCTGGCTAAAGTCCACGGCCACGTCCTGGAAGGTCACTGGCTCCTGTGATGTTACATGTATGTCAGAGATTTGCCAGTGGAGACAGAGAAAGACTTCTAGCATGCTCCAGTAGTTTGCTGTACCAGGGACTTCTCTGCTTAGGGGGAGTGCTCAGAGACACTAACTTCAGTCCCATAAAAAATCCATTGGAAGCCGGGCGCCGGTGGCTCACGCCTGTAATCCTAGGTAGTCAGGAGGCTGAGATCTGAGAATCATGGTTCAAAGCCAGCCCAAGCAGGAAAGTCTATGAGACTTATCTCCAATAAGTCACCAGAAAACTGGAAGTAGCGCTGTGGCTCAAGTGGTAGAGTGCTCGCCGTGAGCTAAAGAGCGCAGGGACAGCCCCCAAGCCCAGAGTTCAAGCCCCACAACGGACCAAAAAAAAGATCCATTGGAGCTGGATGCTAGTGACTCATGCCTGCAATCCTAGCTACTCAGGAGGATGAGATCTGAGGATCATGGTTCAAAGCCAGCCTAGGCAGGAAAGTCCGTGAGACTTATCTCCAATAAGTCACCAGAAAACTGGAAGTGGCGCTGTGGCTCAAATAGTAGAGCATTAGACTTGAGCTGAAGAGCTGAAGGACAGTGCCCAGGCCCAGAGTTCAAGTCCTATGACTGAGCAAAACACCACCACCACCACCAAAAAAACCCCAAATCCAAAGAGCCACTGGGTCTTTCTCACACCCCAGAGTCTAGAGGCTGAGCTGGGAGGCAGAGCTCCTGATTCACAGAGACTCAGGCATAATAAGCAAGCTGCCATAGAATACCCACACTTGTATCCAACACCCCAGGAGAGCCTGCTCCTGGGAACAGCTCCCGGTTTTATGCTACAATCAAAGAAGAAGACTAAGCCTTTGCTTTGGTTGACAGGTCTGAGCTGGGGCAGAGCATTTTCCCAGGTTTACAGTGTTTACTAGAGTTTTGGGGGTCATATACCCCTCTCCTCAAGACTGTATAAAATGGAGCAGAGCCTGCCTCAGAGGAATGTGAGCAGAGTGACAAGCCCAGAGACCCTTACCATCACCTGGGAGCATAGGGACGCAGCCTTATCTGAAGACTAGCCTACACTATTCATCACTTGAAAGCCAGTAATTTCTTTCTTTTTTTAATCAATAAAATACTTTTAATGCCTACAATTTCTTGTATACAAAATGGCAAAACATTCACCTGTATTTCCTCTTCCTTCTTTTCTCTCTCTCTCTCCCCCTCTGTCTCTCTCTCTCTCTTTCGCATGAACTCTGCACCTGGGCACTGTCCTTCATCTCAAGGTGAGTGCTCTACCACTTGCAAGGCAAGCACTCTACCACTAAGCCACCTTCCCAGCCCTAAAGCCAGTAAAAACCATTTTACAGGACAAACATCACTGACCAATGTCACATATACACTATCACTTTAATGGTTGGCAAGAAAGGACGAATCCTGTTTCATTTACATGAAAACTTGTTCTGAGGGGCTGGGAAGGTGGCTCAGTGGTAGAGCACTTGCCTTGCATGCCTGAGGCCCTGGGTTCGATTCCTCACACCACATAAGCAAAAAGAAAAAAGCCGGAAGTGGCGCTGTGGCTCAAGTGCCTTGAGCTGAAGAGCTGAGGGACAGCGCCCAGGGCCAGAATTCAGGCCCCACGACAGGACCCCAAAAAAAAAAAAAAAAAGAAAGCTTGCTCTGAAACAAATCTCAGCCTTTAGTGTTTCACTCTTAATGCCCCAAGTAAGTGTTTTCTGAAGGATGGGGGCTCTGTTCTTCTACCTGAGATAGAGTGCCGGAAGAGGTCTCTCTTCTTCCAGTTGGGAGACAATGCAATCTTAACAGGCTGCCTGTGGTTGTTCTGCCTCCCCCCCCCCCCCCCCCCCCCCCCCGCCGCCAGTCCTGGGGCTTAAACTCAGGGCCTAAGCACTGTCCCTGAGCTTCTTTTTGCTCAAGGCTAGCACTCTACCACCTGAGCCACAGCGCAACTTCCAGCTTCTGTTTGTTTGTTTGTTTATTTATTTATTTGTTTTCTTGGTCGGTCGTAGGGCTTGAACTCTGGGCCTGAGTGCTGTCCCTCAGCTCTTCAGCTCAAGGCAAGTGCTCTACCACTTGAGCTATAGCGCCACTTCCGGTTTTCTGGTGGTTTATTGGAGATAGGAGTCTCACGGTCTTTCCTGCTTGGCTTGGCTTTGAACTGTGATCCTCAGATCTCAGCCTCCTGAGTAGCTAGGATTACAGGTGTGAGCCACCAGTGCCTGGCTCCAGCTTCTATTTATGTGGCACTGAGGAACTGCACCCAGGGCTTCATGCATGCTAGGCAAGCACTCTACCACTAAGCCACATTCCCAGCACCTGCCTCTTATTTCTGTTCCAGTTCTCGGTCCCTGTGCTCTTGCTTTGTGGCTTGAATTCCAGGTATTGATGCCCTGTCTACACCTTCAATAACACCATAGTGGAGGCAGGACAGCCTTTCATAGTTCAGAACCCAGCTCAGATTAAAGAGCTCAAAGGTCAGAATGGCCCAGCATGTACGATGCTTTTGCAAGGCTTTGCACAGAAAAACATCTTAGGGGCTGGGGGCCCATGGCTCATGACTGTAATCCTTGCTACTCGGGAGGCTGAGATCTGAGGATCACCATTCAGAGCCAGCCCAGTCAGGAAAGTCCATGAGACTTTTTTTTTTTTTTCCCTTTGTTGGTCGTGGGGCTTGAACTCCGGGCCTGGGCGCTGTCCCTGAGCTCTTCAGGTCAAGGAGAGCGCTCTACTGCTTGAGTTACAATGCCACTTCTGGTTTTCTAGTGGTTTATTGGAGATAAGAGTCTCACAGACTTTCCTGCCTGGGCTGGCTTTGAACCGTGATCCTCAGATCTCAGCCTCCTGAGTAGCTAGAATTACAGGCGTGAGCCACCGGCACCCGCCTTCCATGAGACTCTTATCTCCAATTAACCACCAGAAAACCAGAAGTGGCGCTGTAGCTTAAGTGGTAGAGTGCCTTGAGCTGAAAAGCTGTGAGATAGCGCCCAGGCCCAGAGTTCAAGACCCACAACCGACAAAAAAAAAAAAAAAAAAAAAAATCTTAGGCACAACATCTGCAGGAAATGCTATATACAGTATGTATATGTATATACAGTCTACACCTGCACATACTGTACACATACTGTATGTTGCCTATACCTCCAATACTCTATACATACTATATACATCTGTAGGGTAGGCTGTACCCAGAAGAACAAAGGGTGAGACTGCTTACCTCAGGCAGCACTTCCATTGGCAAGATGGCCACATCCTCCTTTTCTTCCTTCTGTGGGGCAGTGGCCTTAGGAGAGCAGGCAAGTAGTGCTGGAAGAGACACACAACAGGCAGGTGATGGGTTGTGCATACCTGTGTCCTTGTCCTGCTGTCTGCTCTCTTCTCCCAATGCCTCCCAATCCCTGTGCCTGGATGGGCCTGGTTGTGGTCACCCATGCATGAACCATACACACTTACTCAACTTACTTGGCTAACACTACTGCTTGAGCTATACGTCCAACCCTGCTTTTTTGCTGTTAAGTGGAGATGGAGTCTCATGGACTTTTCTGCTTGGGCAGGTTTTAACCGCAATCCACTGGCTCTCAGCCCGATTAGCTAGGACTACAGGTTTCAGCCACCGGTATCCAACTTGGAGGCACTATTTTGGGAGATTGTAGAAACTAGGAGGTGGGACCCATATATAGCAAGCTGGTCTATGTAGAGGCAGGTCTTGGGACTATCTCATCTTTGACTTCTTTCTGGTTGTTCCATGTCTGGCTTTCTCGGAGTACTTTATTGGAGTCTCATGGACTTTCCTGCCTGGGCTGCTTTGAACTGTAACCCTCAGATCTCAGCCACCTGAGCAGCTGGGATGACAGACCTGAGCTGCTGGCTCCCAGTTCAATTTCCCTGTCTCATGTCACTGCCATGATGTTCTGCCGAAGTGCATGGGGCAAGAGACTATGAACAGAACTCTGAAACTGTCGGCAGAAACAGATTCTTCTTTCAAGTTTTTCTACAAGATATTTTGTCACAGCTTGAGCAAAATATCTACACCTACTCTGCAAAACTCAACAGTTTACCTCTAGATTACTTCTGCTTCCTCAAGCATCAATCAATCAGTCCGTCACTAGAAATATCTTCTGGATACTATGAGTGTGGTATGGTAGTGAGCAATGACAAAGCATTCATGCTCTCAAGTTCAGCCTGATAAAGAATGCAACACTCAGAAATAACCAAAACAAGCCCGGCGCTGGTGGCTCAGGCCTGTAATCCTAGCTACTCAGGAGGCTGAGATCTGAGGATCGCGGTTCAAAGCCAGCCCGGGCAGGAGAGACCGTGAGACTCCTATCTCCAATAAACCACCAGAAAACCGGAAGTGGCACTGTAGCTCAAGTGGTAGAGCATTCTCCTTGAGTTGAAGAGCTGAGGGATAGCGCTCAGGCCCAGAGTTCAAGCCCCACAACCGACAAAAACAAACAAACAAAAAACCCCAAACAAATGCACGGTCACTGCTGGCAAGCTGCAGCTTTCTGAGGGCAGCAGCCCAAGTAGGCAGATTACATGCTCCTGTCCACCATCCACCACCAGCCCAGGGGGTCTCTAAAGTTCACGTTGGACTGGGCCACTTATTCCTAGAACTCAGGAGACTGATTCTCACTGTTCAGGACAATATTTCCTCATCCTTCAGGTAAACATTCAAATTTCGACAGGAAGTGCAGGTGTGGTGGCACACGTCTGTAGATCTGTCACTCTGTAGTTCAAGCTATGCAGGAGACTGAGGCATGAGGAATGCTTGCACACAGGAATTTGGGGGCAGTGTGGTAATAAACTTACTCATTAAATTTGGGGAATTTGGGGGCAGTAAGTAATAAACTTACTCATTAAAAAAAAAAAATCTAGGCACAGGTTGCTATCTGTGATCCTAGTGACCCCTGGTGGCAGAGATCTGAGACTGCAGTTCAAAGGCAGCCCTGGCAGAAAAATCTACAAGATTTTTTTTTTTTGTTGGTCATGGGGCTTAAACTTCGGACTTGGGCGCTGTCCCTCAGCTCTTCAGCTCAAGGCTAGTGCTCTACTACTTGAGCCATAGCGCCACTTCTGGCTTTTTTCTTTTTTTTTTGGGTCCAGTCGTGGGGCTTGAACTCTGGGCCTGGGCGCTGTCCCTCAGCTCTTTAGCTCAAGACTAGCGCTCTACCACTTGAGTCACAGCGCCACTTCTGGGTTTTTTCTTATGTGGTGCTGAGGAATCTAACCCAGGGCCTCATGCATGCAAGGCAAGCGCTCTACCACTGAGCCAACTTCCCAGCCCCTGGCTTTTTTCTTTTTTTGCTTATGTGGGGCTGAGGAATCGAACCAAGGACTTCATGCATGCAAGGCAAGCGCTCTACCGCTGAGCCACCCTCTCAGCCCCAAACTTGAGCTTTTTGTTTTTGGTCGGTCGTGGGTCTTGAACTCTGAGCCTGGGCGCTGTCCCTCAGCTCTTCTGCTCAAGGCTAGTGCTCTACCACTTGAGCCATAGCACCACTTCCTTCCGCAAGATTCTTATCTTCAATTAACGATGAAAAAAAGCCAAAGTGGAGCTGTGGCTCAAGTCCTTGAACACAAAAGCTCTGGGGCAGTGCCTAAGCCTTGAGTTCAAGCCCTCAGAATGGCTAAATAAAAGATCCTTGTAAGGAACCTCATGTATAGGCCTCATACCCTGTTCACACCTATCCAGACTCATTACCCAGTTTCTCCTCAGTTTCTGCATGCTATAGTTTGGTCATTTCCACATTGAACCCTCAGAGGCAGTGCTTCCTTTGCTAGGTACACCCTATCCTGCCTCTTTACCCTGAAAAATTCCAGTACCTATCAGCTGTCAGCTACATAAACAGCCTTCAGTGGCTCCACCAGTGAGTCCACCTTTGGTCTCCATTTGCAGTATAACATGTATGTGCATGCATTTGCCACATCCCATCTTCCCCCAGGACCACAGGCTCAGCAAGCCTTACTCTAAGTCCCACCTTAGCTACCACATCCTGTGCAGGCCCTACATACCAAGAGCTTGAGGGCAAATCTGACAGGGATCCCAAGAGGATGAAAAGAAAGGATTGTATCTGCAAGTTTCCATAGAAGGCTTTAGAAAGTTCCTTCAAGAGCTCTAGGTAGGGGCTGGGAAGGTAGCTCAGCGGTAGAGTGCATGCCTTGCAAGCATGAGGCCCTGGGTTCGATTCCTCAGCACCACATAAACAGAAAAAGCCAGAAGTGGCGCTGTGGCTCCAGTGGTAGGGCGCTAGCCTTGAGCTGAAGAGCTGAGGGACAGTGCCCAGACCCAGAGTTCAGGCCCCATGACCGAGAAAAAAACAAACAAAACAAAACAAAACAAAAGAGCTCTAGGTCAAGCCAGGCACCGGTGGCTCATGCCTATAAATCCTAGCTACTCAAGAGGCTGAGATCTGAGGATCCTGGTTCAAAGCCAGCCCGGGCAGGAAAGTCCGTGAGACTCTTATCTCCATTAAACCTCTCAGAAGCACAGAAGTGGCCCTGTGGCTCAAGTGGCAGAGCCCCAGCCTCAAGCTGCCCCCTTCCCCCCCAGCTGTGCCACACCTTACCCTGTACCACACTCACCCTCTTCCTACTTGGGCACTGAGACTCCATCCAGGTTCTGAAAAGCCCCCATTCAACCCATGAGCTGTCCCTCCCCTCACCCTCTTCCTCCTTGGACAGAGACCATACCTTCCACTAGGACCACTGCTGCTTCACAGTCCTCTGGGTGTTGTGACTTAACCCACAAGTTTAGCTGTGCAGGCAGAACACCCAGGAACTGCTCCAGCACCAGCATCTCTATGATCTGCTCCTTGGAATGCAGCTCTGGCTGTAGCCATTGGTGACACAGATCACGAAGCTGAGCAATGGTCTCCTGAGGCCCAGTTGACTTCTCATATTGGTAGTGTCGGAATTTATGGCGAACGGCTTCAGTGTCAGATGGATGTCTGCCCAGCTGTTGGACTGGACTCTGGCTTCCATTTTCAGTGTAGAGGGCATGAATCTGAGCATTCCGGGGACCAGCCACCGCTTGGTTCAGGGTAAGAACTTCAACAACTTTGATCTTCATCAGGGGATCCTCAGCAGGAAGACCCAACTGAGGTACTTGTGTAGCCCCAGAACATTCTGGTCAAAAATAGAAAAAAAGAGCAACAAGTACAGGAAAGATGCTCAGGATCATTATTTTCCAGGGAAATACAAATTAAAACCAGTGGAAACTTCATTTATTTATTTTTGGTTAGTCCTGGGGCTTGAACTCAGGGCCTGGGCTCTGTCCCTGAGCATCTTTTGCTCAAGGCTAGTGCTCCACTACTTGAGCCACAGCACCACTTCTGGCCTTTTCTGTTTATGTGGTACTGAGGAATCAAATCCAGGGGTTCACACATGCTAGGCAAGCACTCTACCACTAAGCCACATTCCCAGCCCTCTACATCTCTTAGCAATCTAACAGAAAAATTTTATGAGGACAATATACATTTTTCAAATAAATTATGAGGCAGAAGGCTCAAGAAATTACTTGTTGAAGTTATTAGTATTCTAATCATCTGTATAGGGTGAATGTGGGCAGCTTTATACCTTCCATGGGTTTGTTCCACTATTTGCTCATTCATGTACTCAGCTTCATTACTGAGCCTCTATACTGTGGCATGAGTTAGAACAGGAAGCAAAGATACAGTAGGGGAGTGAAAGGGTTTCTCATGAGAACTGTCATGGACAGCCCCTTTGAAAGCTAATATAAAAATAAAATTTTATTTATTATTTTATTTTATTTTTGGGTCCAGTCATGGGGCCTGAACTCTGGGCCTGGGCGTTGTCCCTCAGCTCTTCAGCTCAAGGCTAGCACTCTACCACTTGAGCCACAGTGCCACTTCCGGCTTTTTCTTTTTGCTTTATGTGGTGCTGAGGAATCGAATCCAGGGCCTCAGGCATGCAAGGCAAGTGCTCTACCACTGAGCTACCTTCCCAGCCCTAAAAATAAAAATTTAAAGGTAGAGAAGGGACACACGAGAGAGAAAAAAATCACCCTCCCATTTCTATGTTCTTCTACTGACACAACTGTAGTGGAGCATGCTTATATTTGAATACTTTTTTTTTTTGGGTCCGGTCATGGGGCCTGAACTCTGGGCCTGGGCGCTGTCCCTCAGCTCTTCAGCTCAAGGCTAGCGCTCTACCACTTGAGCCACAGTGCCACTTCCGGCTTTTTTCTTTTTGCTTATGTGGTGCTGAGGAATCGAACCCAGGGCCTCAGGCATGCAAGGCAAGCTTTCTACCACTGAGGCACCTTCCCAGCCCCTTGAATACATTTTTACAAGCTTATAGATTACTACACACATTAAATCACTATTCCTTTTTCTATAGGATTTTGAAGGAAATCTCTCCTAACCTCAGAAAGCTTATTAGTTTATTTGTTTTCCTTCCTACAGGTAAGGCATTCTAGGGTAAGGCTTTATTATTCATAGTCTGAATGCCAGAAAGGGATCTTGGGATAAAATCAAAATATGCCTAGATCCTAGTGAGCAAATAAAGAGGTGACAAAAGACATAATGCCCTTCAATAAAAGATCAACAAATCCTGCAATCACTCACTAGTTTGAATTCTAGGCAAAATGTTTGATATTTATCCAAGATTGACAGCCCTGCAAAGTTCTCTACAGTATCATCCATCTCAAGAATTCTCATTAACATCCCTTACCCATTTGCATAACCTGGCTTTGTCTTCAGAGTTTCTGCTCTGAAGATACATCCTTGACATTTGTTTATTTCCTCAGTAGTTTACTGAACTCTTAGGGATTTAGTCATTGTGTTAACAAACAGCAAAGCTGTCAGTTGCCTGTGGCTCATACCTGTAATCCTAGCTACTCAGGAGACTGAGATCTGAGTATTGCGGTCGGAAGCCACCCCAGGCAGCAAAGTCTGTGAAACTCTTATCTCCCCAACAAACTACTCAGAAGTGGCACTGTGGCTCAAGTGGTAGAGTGCTAGCCTGAAGCAAAAATGAGTAGGGGACAGTGCCCAGGACCTGAGCTTAACCCCCAGGACCAGCAGAAACAAAACAAAATGAAACAAAACAAAACAAAATCCCGGCAAGGTACAAAACTGAGAGAAGATGCCTGCTCTCATTCATATTGTTAAAACTTGTTCTAAGTATTCAGGGGGGACAATATAACAAACTACGAGGTTGCATCTTGCTTTATTACATCCATATATTTATAGAGTTTATATTCTAAATATCTGGTTGAAAAAGGGCAATTTCATTTTTATTATTGGTGGAACTTTTCCAATAATTTTCCTCATATTTCAATAAGGTGGGAGTTCAAGTTGATCTGTCTTCAGATTTCATGGAAAGAATCATTGCCAATATGAGTCCTCTGATACACAGAATGAGGACTCCTACTGAAAGTTTTCCCCTTCCTATTCACAGGGGTCCTCCCCAGTAAGTTCCACAATTATTTCAAGCTGTCGTTAATGTAATTTGCATTACTTCTGTGATGTTAGGTAAGAGCTGGAGACCAAATCATTTCCAGAAATTGCATTCTCTGGTTTCAAAGCTCTCAGATGTAACTATTTGGTGTAGGAATGTTTCCAAATTACATAGTACTAGATTTTCTTGTATCTAATACAAAATTTCATTAAAAATTAACAACGAATTAGGTCAAAAACATTTTCTGCTACAGTAACCTATTTGATGTGAGTTCTCAGATACTGAAAAACTTGTGGAAAAGACTTCTATCTAGGTCTTTAGAGATTAATATCCTAACATGATACTTACTTAGTTAAGGAAGTCTCAGCTGAGCTGCAATTGAGCTTTCACACTAACCACACTTTTTCTACTTTGTTCTTTGAACAATTATCTTTTTTTGGCACAAGGTTAACATTCTACTGCTTGAGCCACAACTCTACTTTCAGGTATTTTTTGGGGATTGATTGGAGATACAAGTCTCAGTCTTTCCTGCCCAGGCAAGCTTTGAACTGCAATCCTCAGATTTCAGTCTCTTCGGTAGCATGAAGCACCATGCTCGTGCTGAATTATGTCATGTGTAAAACAACTGCACTTTTCATACCCTACATTTTCCATGTATTTCCCTCTAAAACTACATAAAAGATAGGGGGCTAGAGTAGCATTTGCTTCTTTCTAAAAACAAAAACAACTCTTCCCAAACCCTCCTTATATATGTAGAAATACGGTTGACAAAAAGGCCTACCTTTTATTCAATCCCAGTTTTATTAAGGTAGTGCACCGAAAGACCACTTTAGGAGACAGGCCTAAACTCACATTTCTTTTTTTTTTTGGTCCGGCCATGGGGACTGAACTCTGGGCCTGGGCGCTGTCCCTCAGCTCTTCAGCTCAAGGCTAGCGCTCTACCACTTGAGCCACAGCGCCACTTCCGGCTTTTTTCTTTTTGCTTATGTGGTGCTGAGGAATCGAACCCAGGGCCTCAGGCATGCAAGGCAAGCATTCTACCACTGAGCCACCTTCCCAGCCCCTAAAATCACATTTCTAAGTAATATCTGGACCTGCTTCTGAGGTTCTAACAGATGCATACAAGTAGCTTTATAAGCCTTTTAGGATGTTTCTATGGACCCAAGACATTTATATTTCATTATCTGAATAAGTAATGACAAGTATCAATTAAGGTAAGTCAAGGAAAGGAAGTCAAACTAAAGAGTACTAAGGAATCATTGTATGACTGGTTTAAGTTTTTGTTTAAAATTATTTCCACATTAAAAAACAAAAACAAAAAACAAAGCCGGGCACCGGTGGCTCACACCTGTAATTCTAGCTACTCAGGAGGCTGAGATCTGAAAATCACAGTTCAAAGCCAGCCGGGGCAGGAAACCTTATGAGACTCTTATCTCCAATAAACCACTAGAAAACTGGAAGTGGTGCTGTGGTTCAAGTGGTAGAGCACTCGCCTTGAGCAGAAGAGCACATGGACAGAGTCTAAGCCCAGAGTAAGCCCCATAACCGACAAAACAAAGAAAAAAAAAAAAACACCCAAATTTCCACTCTTTAAACAATCTTCTTAGCAGAGCACAGGTGGCTCACACCTGTAATCCTAACTACTTAGGAAGCTGAGATCTGAAGATTGCAGTTCAAAGCCAGTCTGAGCAGGAAAGTTCCATGAGACTCTTATCTCCAATTAACCACCAGAAAACCAGAAGTGGCTCTATGGCTCAAGTAGATCACTAGCCTTTAGCTGAAGAGTTCAGGGACAACACCCAGGCCCAGAGTTCAAGCCCACAACCAACGAAAACAAAAAATAAAATAAAAAATAATTAGGTTACTGACACACAGAAAAGAGATTCATAGTTGGGTGCTGGTTGCTTATACCTGTAATCCTAGCTACTCAGGAGGGTGAGATGTGAGGATTGCAGTTCAAATCCAGCCTGGGCAGGGAAGTCTGGGAGACTTTTTTTCTTTTATTTTCTTGCCAATCCTGGGGCTTGAACTCAGGGCCAGGGCACTGTCCCTGAGCTTCTTTATCAATCAACCACTTGAGCCACAATGCCACTTCTGGCTTTTTCTGTTTATGTGGTACTGAGGAATTGAACCCAGAGTTTCATGAATGCCACCAAGCCACATTCTCACCTCTCTGTGAGACTCTTATCTCTAATTAACCAACAAAAGCTGGAGGTGGTGCTGTGGCTCAAAGTGGTAAGAGTGCTAGCCTTGAGCAAAAGAGCTCAGGGACAACACCCAGACCCTGAGTTCAAGCCCCACAAAAGACTAAAAAAAATAAAAAAAATCACGGGCCGGATACCAGTGGCTCACACCTGTAATCCTAGCTACTCTGGAGGCTGAGATCTGAGGACTGTGGTTCAAAGCCAACCTGGGCAGGAAAGTTTGTGAAACTCTTATCTCCAATAAGCCACCAGAAAACTGGAAGTGGCAGTGTGGCTCAAGCGGTAGAGTGCTCGCCTTGAGCTGAAGAGCTGAGGGATAGCGCCCGAGCCCAGAGTTCAAGCCCCACCACCGACCAAAAAAAAAAATCATGGGATTAGAGATATAGCTCTGTTTGGAATGCCCAGGTAGGATACTCTATAGAACTCTTATCTTCCATTAACTACCAAGAAGCCAGAAGTAGAGCAGTGGCAGTGGTATAACACGACCCTTGAGCAAACAAAATTAGGCCCAGAGTTCAAGCCCCAGGACTTGCACAAAACCAAACCAACCAACCAAACAAACAAACCCATGACATTAAATAAGAGAAATACAGCACAGTGATCCTTAAAACCTAGAAACTTGCCCAGTTAAATCAGATCAGACATTCACTCTTTATATGCACAGCATTATGTTCCAGAATTTGTGATGCAACTAACATGATGTCTATGTCTATCCAAAGGAAGTAAGCTATTAATATAACTTCCTCCTATTTTTTTTTTGGGGTCCAGTCATGGGGCCTGAACTCTGGGCCTGGGTGCTGTCCCTCAGCTCTTCAGCTCAAGGCTATCACTCTACCACTTGATTCCATGAGTTTTTTTTTTTTGGGGGGGGGTCCAGTCGTGGGGCTTGAACTCGGCCTGGGTGCTGTCCTTCAGCTCAAGGCTAGTGCTCTACCACTTGAGCCACAGCGCCACTTTCGGCTTTATTTTTCTTCTGCTTATGTGGTGCTGAGGAATCAAACGCAGGGCCTCAGGCATGCAAGGCAAGCGCTCTACCACTGAGCCACCTTCTCAGCCCCAACTTCCTCCTATTGTATACTTGCAGGTAGCTTTGTATCAGAAAATGTAATGAAAACTTAACAGTTATAAATAAGAAACTTATGTGCATATTAGGTTCTGCTGGAACAACAGTACAAGAATAAGACATAATCAATCAGATCAGATAACAGCAATAATGTAAGCCCAATCAAGTATAATTTACATTCTTAGGATTTTTTCTCAACTAATGGATAGTAAGTCTGCTGGAGCTTGGGATGAGTAAGGACATTTAAGAATTTTATAATTACAAAGGATACTAATGTTTATCTAAAGCTGTAAGTACAATAATGTGTTTCTTAGAGAGGATAAAACATAAAGTACAAAGGAGAATCCAGAAAGAGTTCTGCACAATATAGGGTATGACCATAGTTTACTCCACACAGAGATGGTGCTTCCAATGAGCAGAGGAAGAAGTAGTCAAAATATGGTATGGAAAGAAATTGTGCTGTACCATATACAAGAGGAAACACTAAACAAATAGAGCTTAATGAAGAAATATAAAAATGCTCAAATATGTGAAAGCATTAGGACAATGTGTCTACACAATTATAAACCTGTAACAAATTAAAAAGAGGAGATGAGGAGCTACAGCTCTGTGATTCCATACTGTATACCATGTATAACCCTAAGCATCAACAACAAATAAATGAATAAAAACCTTAAAAATTATTTATTTATTATTTTTTTTTGGGGGGGTCCGGTCGTGGGGCCTGATCTCTGGGCCTGGGCACTGTCCCTCAGTTCTTCAGCTCAAGGCTAGCACTCTACCACTTGAGCCACAGCACCACTTCCGGCTTTTTTCTTTTTGCTTATGTGGTGCTGAGGAGTCTAACTCAGGACCTCAGACATGCAAGGCAAGCTCTCTACCACTGAGCCACCTTCCCAGCCCACAACCTTAAAAATTTAAGGACTGTGGAGGATTGCAGTTCAAAGCCAGTCTGGGCAGGAAAGTCCATGAGACTCTTATCTCCAATTAACCACCAGAAAACCAGAAGTGTCTCTATGGCTCAAGTAGATCACTAGCCTTTAGCTGAAGAGTTCAGGGACAACACCCAGGCCCAGAGGACTGTGGTTCACATTTGTAATCCTATTCAGGAGACTGAGATCTGCATCTCCAAGTAACCAGCAAAAAGCCATATGTGGAACTGTGACTCAAGTTGTAGAGCACTAGCTTTGAGTAAAAAAATGCTCAGGGACAGTGCCCAGGCCCTGAGTTCAGGCCCCATGACCAACAAAACAAACAAACAATAACAATAAAAAAAAACACAGAAATACTACAAATATCTAGAGGTATAATCAAGTGGTAGAATACTTTACCATCCAGTATGACGATTGGGTTCAATCTTCTGTCACAAAAAGACATGGTTTGATTTGTTAGTCATGAGAAAAATCTGAACTAAGTAACATACTTTTCTGGTAAGAAAAATCCCATCCATCTCCAAATCTTAAAAAGGCCATTATAGAGCTGAGATGTGGCTCAGTTGCAAAGCACTTGCCTAGCAAATACAACATTCTGGGATTAATCCCCCAGTACTAAAAAAAAAAAAAAAAAGACAAAAACAAAAACTAGGTTTTTATTTTTAAAGCCGGGTGCTGGTGGTTCATGTCTGTAATCCTAGCTACTTAAGAGGCTGAGATCTGAGGATCTCAGTTCAAAGCCAGCCCAGGCAGGAAAGTCTATGAGACTCGTATCTCCAATTACTCACCAAAAAGCCTGAAGTAGAACTGTGGTTCAAGTGGTAAAACCCTAGCCTTAAACATAAAGAGCCCCGAGAACTCTTTGCTATCATATAATTAGCTTACATTTTCTTTGAGCCTATGTTTCTATTTCTACAAATTCAATCTACAGAAAAACTAACCTGTATGTACAGAAAAATGTATACAAGGAATGCATTTGTATTTCTTGCTTTGTACTATCTTGAATATTCATCAAGATAGGAAAAGCCAAATGTGGACAACACCAAAATATGAATAGGAATTGTATAAACTTGTTTCTATTGAGTATAATATCATTAAAATGTGAGTATGCCAGGTGGCTCATGCTGATAATCTTCCTCAGGGGGTTGAGACCTGGAAAATCATGATCCAAAAATAGAACAGGAAAAGTTCCCAGACTCCATTTCCAATTAACTAGTAAAATATGGGACTAGAGACATGACTCAAGTGGTAAAACACCAGAAAACAAGTCAGAGTACAAGGTCCTGACTTTAAGCCCCAGAACCAACATGAACACACAGATTGAATACATACTGATACAGACAGACAGACACACACACAAATCTATAGTAAAAAGTCTAGCTGGAGACAGCAGTTACAAGTGATCACACAAGGAGAATGAAGTAGACAATGAGTAGAATGAGTAAGGGAATCTTTTGTTGTTTTTAGTCCTGGGGCCTGAACTCTGGGGCTGGGCGCTGTCCCTCAGCACTTGGGCTCAAGGCTAGCACTCTACCACTTGAGCAACACACACTTGCGGCTTTTTCTGCTTATGTGGTGCTGAGGAATCAAACCCAGGGCCTCATGCATGCAAGGCATGCACTCTACCACTGAGCCACCTTCCCAGCTCTTGGCTTTTATTTTATTTTTTGCCAGTTCTGGGGCTTGAACTCAGGGCCTGGGCACTGTCTGAGCTTCTTTTGCTCAAGGTTAGCATTCTTACCACTTGAGCCACAGTGCCACTTCTGATTTTTTCTGTGTATGCAGTACTGAGGAATGGAACCCAGGGCTTCATGCATGGTAGGCAAGCACTCTATCAATAAGCTGCATTCCCAGCCCTGGGTTCACTTTCAACCAAGCTTGACATCCTGGCTAAGGCCAGGGGAAAACTTGAAGTTTATTCATACCAAAGCATTAGACTTGGGTTCTCTTACATTTGACCTCTTTTCTAAGATACCAGTCTTTGATTAGCTAGTTAGCTCATTCCCTGTGGGAACTCCCATAGGCCTGGTTCTCACCTGGAAAGGTGTCTTGAAGAATCTCTCTTTCCACTGTCCAGCAGTCTTCTGCTTTCTCTAACTGTATTATCACATCTGGCTTGGAAAGATGAAGTTCTGCTCAAGGGAAAAGAGACAGGGCTTGGGGAGTCTGTGCTTGAACAAAATGCTACCCTCCTGCAATACACTCTATTCCTACCATTTCTCTGCTGGAACTTAACATGACTTGGGGCCTAAGGCAATGATACCCACCAAACACATCCCTTTTGTCCTATTTGTTGAGTTCCTTTGCCAGCTGAGGAGCCTAAGGGAGGTGGGGCCAGTTCTGTCCAGCAAGATACAGGGGAAGATCTTAATTAGGAAACTTATTGGGAAAACTTTGGATTTCTTGGCACATGCGACCTTTGTGAATGGCTATGGATGTTACCTCGTTTGTTTCTGCCTTGAACCCAGGCATGAAGTTTGGAGCCACAGCCATAGAACAATTAGCCAAAAGATGAAAGGTACAGGGCTGGGAAGGTGGCTCAGTGGTAGAGCGCTTGCCTTGCGTGCTTGAGGCCCTGGGTTCGATTCCTCAGCACCACATAAGCACAAAGAAAAAAGCCGGAAGTGGTATGTGGCTCCAGTGGTAGAGCACTAGCCTTGAGCTGAAGAGCTGAGGGACAGCGCCCAGGCCCAGAGTTCAGGCTCCACGACCGGACCCAAAAAAAAAAAAGAAAAAAAAAAAAGATGAAAGGTACAAAAGAACCATAGAAATGGACAGAATCTGGACCTTTGATGAAACTGGTAAACTGCTGGACACTACTAACACATCCTCTGCAATTGTTACATAGTATTCACTACTGCAGGTACAATCAATCCTGATGCACCTCCCCCACTCCCCCAGTACTTAAGAGACACTGAGTTAGGGATTGGGTGAAACTTCAGAGTCATACCAAGAAGCTGCCTTTTTTCCTATGCATACAAAGAAGAGTACTCCCAAGCTCTTAATACTTCCAATCTAATCCCAGCAGCCCACACCCAAGCAGACACACTTCAGAGGCACCACAAATAATGATACAAAGCACAGACTTTTTTTTTCTTTTTTGAGACAGGATCTCATAATGTAGCCCAAGTTGGCCTGAAACTTCTGCCTCCAGCTTCTCGGTGCTGAGATTATAGGCAGGCACCACCACGCCCAGCCAAAGCATTTGACATTTAGAGTGGCCTTACCCACTGAGACCAGGTTTCTGTAGTTTTCCAGCATCACTTCCCTGTATAAGGACTTCTGTGGGATGTCCAGCAGTCCCTTCTCTTCCAGGGTAAAAGTCAGTGCTATATCTTCAAAGGTCACTGGTTCCTAAAATCCACAGGATCCTGTTCAGCAAGGGCAGATCCTCCTCCATGGTAACAGGAAGAGAAAGGAGACTGGCCAAGATGACCTGAAAGAGTTCTACCTGTCTCACCTTGTGTTATTTGTTTGAAATCCTGAATAAATCCATGCCTGGACCTATTCAGGACACAGCGAGGACAAGTGAGACATCTCTTCTACCAAATATTGTTTATTTGTAGCCAGGCACCTTTGAGAACATCTTTGATCCTTGCTACTCAGGAGGCTGAGCCTTGAGGATCGAGTTTGAAGCCAGCCCAGGCTAATCTCCAATTAACCAGGTCTGGTGATTACTACTCTGAGATTGGTCTGAATGCCATTTTTGGGTGCGGGCTTCTGCCTGTCCCTGAGGTTTTTTGCTCAAGGCTAGCACTCTACCACTTGAAGCCACAGCTCTACTTCTGGCCTTTTGGTGGTTCATTGGAAACAAATGTCTCACACTTTCCTTCCTGGCCTGGCTTTGAACACTGATCCTCAGATCTCAGCCCCCCGGGCAGCTAGAATTACAGGTATGAGCCATAAGCTCCTAGCTTCCTTTAGTGTAAACTGGTGGTTAAGAGCTCTTGGAATCCTCCACCATTTGGCTTCTTTTCTAAACACTCACTAGGAAATCGAAGCAGTTTCCCCGTAACAGCCGGCCCCCTCCCCGCAGAAGTGCTCCGAGAAACGGGGGCATTTCAGAGACTGTAGGTAAGTGGCGCTGTGGCTCAAGCCTTGAGCAAAAGGGCTCAGGGATGGCGCCTAGGCCCCGAGTTCAAACCCCGCAACCGACAAAAAATAAAATAAAAATTAGAGACCGTAGTTGTTCCCCCACCACGTGCATCCTCAGGGGCTGGGAGGTGTTACTCACTACTCACATTGGACCAGGATGGCGAGCGCCTGAAGGCCATACTCCCCTCTGCGTCTCCCTCGTGAGTGGGCAGAGTTCTGAGAAAACAAAAGTCGGAGGGAGCAGGAAGGCGCTTGAGGGGGACGCCGAGGTTCCCGGACTCCGCCCCGTCCATCCTCCGCCCCGGAGCTGGGGCACCGGTGAGTCCTAGCCCCACACTCCACGCCAAGAGGACAGGGTCCCCTCACCCGGCCGCCCCGACCCGGGAGGCGGGCTGCCGCCCACCCGGCTCCACCCCGGCTGCGAGCCGCGGCCCTCGGGATCCCGGTCCAGGACCACAGACAGTTCTCCTCCAGCTCCGCAGCAGACAGATAGGTAAGGGCGACTCCCGCCACCGAGCTGTCGGGACAGAAGCAGAGGAGATGCCCAGCCCGAGGCGGGACCCACTTTTTAAATGCAGCACTCACCAGGCGCGCGCCCCGCAATGGCGCCAAAGGGCCCCGCGGTGAGGTGCGTCAGAGCGCCGGCCCGGACTACAACTCCCAGAGGCCCCCGCGGCGGCCGCACCTAGGCGGCGACAATCGGTTTTGCGGAAAGGACGCTTGTCGGGGCCCCACAGAACACGGGAGGTCTCTGGCAGAGGACACTACACTACGGGGGTCCCAGCGTCTCCGTGAACGGCGACCCAGGCTGGCCAGACTCGTAACACCCAACAAGGGTGGCCACGAGGAGGCGGACCGGAAGTCGGAGTCGAGGGAGGCTAGGCCCGGAAGTGCCGAGTTGTTTCGCGGCTCGGCGGCTGGCGGGGCTGATCTCGTCCTCGCGAGAGGCCCGGAAGTGCCGCACTGCCGCTGGGCTCGGCGCCTACCGGTGCTGACCTCGTCCTCGCGCGCGGTCTGGAAGTGCGGGGCGGCCGGCTGGGTTGACTGCCGGACGCACGGCCCACGCAGGTGGAGGAAGACCGGGTGTGTAGTGCCCCGGGTCCTTCCTCGCTGGCCCTCTGCAGAGAGCCGTGGCTGGGCGGCTCAGGGCTGACACGTCTGCTGGCCTTCTTGAGGCTGGACGAGTGGGCGAGCCCAGTGGCCCCGTGAGCGGAACCCGAAGTCCTCCTTCGGGGAGGTGGGGCGGGCCGGAAGTGCGCCTGGTGGGTCCGGGTCCACGCACAGTCCTCGCTTCTTGTGGGGAGCAGAGGGAAGGCCCCCGGAAAGCCAGAGCTAGTCCTGGGGAGCTCCGGCCTGTGTGTCCCCTGACGGCCCGCAGGGCAGAGGCCTAGGCAGCATGCTAAACAATAGCTTGCTTAGACTTGGAAGTCTCACTCGTGTATTCCGACACTTCACCTGCAACTCGCACCAGTACCGAACTCCTAGGCCTAATTCTAGTAAGCGTGTCGTCCACCCAGGGGAGCTCACGTGGCGGTCACCTGGCTTTGAGGTCCGGGGCAACTGCCGAGGGCGTCCTCTGTGTTGTTTCGAGTCGCTGGAAGGAGAGGCGGCCGCCTTGCTTGCTGGATGCCAAGGCGGGTTGGTGGACGTGGAGTCATCGCGGCCACGGGGTCTCTGCTAGCCTGCATGTCTATATGCTTTAGGCTGGGCCTTTCATTTCTGGCCATATCCGATGATCAGGGCTGCCTTAGTGGCAGCTTCGCTTCTGTCTGGTAATCGCCAAGGGCGGTGCTGGCTTGCCTCTGGCTGGGTCTGGTTATCTGGTGGGCTGGATGCCTTGGTGATGGCTCTGTAGGCTCCCTGGGTGCGCCCTTATCTGTATTCCATAGCTCTAACTCTTACATTTTACAGCTTAATACTTCATACTATTTCACAGCACACATATGCTCAATGCATTCCTATTCAATAACCTCCATATGGGTATTTAATAGCACACTAGGCCCATGGTATAACCCCTGCTTTCACTATATATGATGTTGGTATGTGTGGAGGGGAAGGAAAAAAACCGTTATAACAGGGATACAGGAGGACCTATTGCAACAATGAGATGTACAAGTCGGTATGTTGAAAAATGAACTTTACAACTTTGGTAGGGAGGATTGGGGGGGAGGATGGGAAGGGGAAACAAAGGAGGCTACAATGCTTGATAAGAAATGTACTTGTACATGTAATTGTAACCCCTCTGTACAGTATTTTCACAATAAAAATACGTTTATAAAAAATAGCACACTATGTCAGTATTTAATAAGTGTCAATATTCAATAACAAACTACTACAGTATTCCATCATACTCACTACATCTAGACACAGGGTCTTTCCCCCAGGGCTTTGAACAATTTGCTCCAGAGAAGTGGCCTGCCCATATCCAGGAAGGACAAACACTGGCCAGAACCTGGTGTTTGTGCTCAGCTTTTTTGACAGTCCCAGGACAACAAAATACTGTGGTCGGGGAATATTTTGTCTCCCTTGGGTCGCAGGCCCTGGTATGGTCTTGTTCCTCCTTGGGTTCCAGGTACTTAAGAGAATCTTCAGCTTCAGACCCACTGACCAGACCCTCAGAGCCTGGTATACTCTGCTCTCCTTTGGAGTTTCCTGGTAAACTCAGCATCGTTTTATCTCCCTGGGGTCTCTGGTTCATTGTTTGCTAAACTGGTTTCAGTGTTGATCTTTATGGAATGGTAGAAAGGATCCGTTCAGAATACCTATTGTTCATCTCAATTTTTGTTCCAGTTAGATAGAAAGTATTAATTTTGCATATGAGTATTCAGAGCTTATGCAAATATCTTATTCTGAGAGTATATCCTTGATGTTTAAAATTTATTATAGATAGGATACTATTTCTCTTTCTTTCTCATATAAACTATGTAAAATTCCAATCTTGTTTTTTTGTATGTGAAGAGAGAGTTAATTACATCAACTCAAGCTTGAAGAGCTTTCCCATCTCAAGCCATCCTGGAACCAATAAAAAACTTGGTATTGGGGCTGGGAAGGTGGCTCAGTGGTAGAGCGCTTGCCTTAGTTTGATTCCTCAGCACCACGTAAACAGAAAAAGCCGGAAGTGGTGCTGTGGCTCAAGTGAAAGTGCTAGCCTTGAGGTGAAGAGCTGAGGGACAGCGCCCAGGCCCAGAGTTCTAGCCCCAGGACAGACCCACAAAAACAAAAACAAAGAACTTGAAGTTGTGGCATATATCTTTATTAACAACTATATGGGAAGTGTAAATACGATCCTTGGCCAGGCCAGCCCTAATATAAATGTGAGAACATATTAAAAAAAGTCAGGTGCTGGTGGCTCCCGCCTGAAATCCTAGGTGCTGGGGAGGCTAAGATCTGACAGTTGCCTTTGAAGACAGCCAGGGCAGGAAAGTCTCGACTCTTACCTCCAGTGAACCACTAGGAAATCAGAAGTGGTCAGAGCCCTGAAAGAGCTCAGGGATGGCGCTCACGACCCTAGTTCAAGCCCCAAGGCCGATTAAGCAAAACAAAACAAATACAAGTGAGATCTGATTTATGGTGGCCACGGTAAACCAGTTTTCAGTGCATCTCAGAGTGGAGGATGTGGTGGAGCTGAGCAGCTCACATCGCAGCAACTGGAAAACAAAGAAGGCTGCCTCTGCGGGCTTTTCAGCAGAGCCTCTGACCTTGTCTGGAAACGTCCTCTCGGACACGCGCCGACGCCTGCTGCTTCTAGTGCAGCCAAGTTTCAAGCTGAGACACTTTGCAGGGCACTCGGATTCCAATGCACACTGGTTGTGTTGTCAAGCCTTTAAAACGGAGCGCCTCGCAGTCTTTCCCCGGTTACGATGTCCGCTTGCTGGGCCACGCGTGGCTCTCGGGGCTCTCCGTCTCCGTGTCCGCTGCGCACGGCTCTGAAGCACGCCGCCTCCGCCGGGAGCCCGGCGCTGGCGGCTCGGAGGACCGGGACTGGAAGCCGCCCTCCTCAGCCGGCTCAAGTAGCAAAGCGCCCGCTTGGAGCCAAGAAGCGGAGCGGCGGCGCCCAGGCGCTGGCCTCGGCCCCGGCCGACCCACGCAGGACCGGCGGCCGCTGACAGAAGCCGCGGAGGGCTGAGGAGGCGGCAGCCCGGTCCGCCGAGCACGCACAACCGCAGCAACGCGGGAACCGAGGAGACGGTGTTCCCCGCGGGCCGCCCCGGCTCCCGGCAGCGCCGACCCCATTTCCCCGTGGCGGGGGCGCCCGGGCCGCTCACATCCGGATCCTGGCGCCTGCGCGTGCGCAGTCTCCGCCAACATGGCTGACGCCGGCCGGCCGCCGGGCCGCCCGCCCACAGTGAGTCTTCCGGGCCTTGGCGTCACGAGAGGGGCAGCGCGGGGTGGGGGTAGCGGAGAGCCGCGGTGTCCATCGCGGGGTTCCTCCGGGGGGTGAGGTCCACGCGGGCCCGGACGAGCCCCGGCGGGAGCGCGGGCACCG